TTTTGTCCCCGGTGGAGAGGCTCCAACACTTATCATACCCAATCATACCTTACGGACAATGTCCCAAACACCACCATCACCATCCCTGGATATGTCCTGTGCCACCAGCAGGACAGACCCAGCAGAGGTGGTGGCACAATGGTATACAATCGGGAGGGAGTTGCTCTGGGAGTCCTCAACATTTACACTGGACGCAATGAAGCCTCATGGCTTCAGGTTAAACATGGGCAAGGAAACCTCCTGCTGATTACCACGTACTGTCCTCTCTCGGCTGATGAATCAGTACTCCTCAATGTTGAACAACACTTAGAGGAAGCACTGAGGATGGCAAGGGCACAAGATGTACTCTGGGTGGGGGATTTCAATGTCCACCACCAAGACTGGTTCTGCAGCAGTACTACTGATCGAGCTGGTCGGGTCCTAAAGGACATAGCTGCTAGACTGGGTTTGCAGCAGGTGGTGAGGGAACCAACAAGAGGGAAAAACATACTTGACTTCATCCTTACCAATCTGCTAGCTGCAGTTGCATCTGTCCATGACAGTATCGGTAAGAGTGACCATTGCACAGTTCTTGTGGAGATGAAGTCCCACCTTCACAGTGAGAATACCCTCCATCGTGTTGTGTGGCACTGTCACCGTGCTAAATGGGCCAGACTTGGAACAGATCTAGCAATTCAAGACTGGGCCGCCATGAGGCGCTGTGGGCCATCAATAGCAGCAGAATTGTACTCCAGGACAATCTGTAACCTCATGGCCCGGCATATCCCCCACTCAACCATTACCATCAAGCCAGGGGATCAACCCTGGTTCAATGGAGAGTGCAGGAGGGCATGCCAGGAGCAGTACCAGGCATACCTGAAGATGAGGTATCAACCTGGTGAAGCTACCAAGCAGGACTACTTGCACACCAAACAGTATAAGCAGTAAGTGATAGATGGAGCTAATTGATCCTGGATCAGATCTCAGCTTCTGCAGTCCTGCAACACCCAGTCTGAAAGGTGGTAGATAATCAAACAACTCATTGGAGGAGGAGGCTCCACAAATATCCCCATCCTCAATGATGGAAGAGCCCAGCACATCAGTGCAAAATATTAGGCTGAAGCATTCGGAGCAATCATCAGCCAGAAGTGCCGAATGGATGACCCATCTCGGCCCCCTCCAGTGATCCCCAGCATTACACATACCAGTCTTCAGCCAATTTGATTCACTCCACGTGATTTCAAGACACAGTTGGAGACACTGGATACTGCAAAGGCTACGGGCCCTGACAATATTCCGGCAATAGTACTGATGACTTGTGCTCCACAACTTGTCGCTCCCTTATCCAAGCTCTTCCAGTGCAGTTACAACACTGGCATCTATCCAACAATGTGGACACTTATCCAGGTTTCTCCTGTACACAAAAAGCTGGACAAATCCAATCCTGCCAATTACTGCCCAATTACCATTCAAGGGTGCCCACCTTGAAGAAGTTATCCTCCTCTGTCCAGAAAGATCTCAGCTGGTCTCTCTCCCACCGCAAACCCTCTGGTAATCTCTTCGGCCCTGAAACTCTTCGAACACATGTTCAAGCAAACCAGGTATTACAGCCACATCTCCTTTCTCAGTACCCGCCTACAGAACCAGATCATCCCCAATGGACTCCAATCTACATTCAGGCCATTCCCAATTTGGCCCTGACTGTGACAACCTCTACATACACAGCATCGAGAACCTCCAAAAACGTTTTTTTCTCTGCGGCTCCTCAAGCACACGCTTTCAGCAATGCATCGGCATCTCCTGGCCCTACAATCAAGCCCTACCCCCAGCTCAGAGCCTCCCTCTCCTAGACCTGCAAAGGACCTCTCCTGTTTTTTATTCTGCACTGAATCCACAACCTCAACCAATGCTTTTACTCCGCCCTCTCTGACATTAAAAACTGTTAAGTACACTAAACTTACCTGTGCCCATCACTCAACACAGGCGTCCTCCACCATCCCCCACCTCCCAAGCCCTCAATCCTACCCAGGATGAATGGTCAGTCCTCAGTAAAAGACTGCATCTTCATTCCCCTACGCCCACACGTTTGGATGTCGAACACTTTTTCCTCTGCCTCCGCACCTATTTCTTTAACCATGAGTCTGACCCACCTTCTACAGCCCCCTTCTTCCGCCTCCGACACACCCCATCCTCCTGGACACCACCCCCAAGATCTCCTACCCTCCCTCGACCTCTTCATCTCCAACTGCCATCACGACATCGATTGCCTCAACCTGTCCACCTCTCTCACTCACTCTAACCTCTCCCCCACAGAACGTGCAGCCCTCCGCTCCAACCCTAACCTCACCATCAAACCCGCAGATAAAGGGGTGTAGTAGGAATGACCTCTACATTGCCGAGACCAGGCGCCAACTCTCCGACACCTCCTCCTACTGTCCCCTCGATCATGACCCCACCCCGACCACCAAACCGCCATCTCTCAAACCATCCACAACCTCATCACCTCAGGTGACCTCCCACCCACAGCCTCCAACCTCATCATTCCCCAACCCCACTCCGCCCGCTTCTATCTCCTTCCCAAAATCCACAAACCTGACTGTCCTGGCCAACCCATTGTCTCTGCCTGCTCCTGCCCCACTGAACTTATCTCCGCTTACCTTGACTCTGTCCTTTCCCCCCTGGTCCAGGAACTCCCCACCTATGTCTGGGACACCATCCACACCCTCCACCTCCTCCAAGGCTTCCAATTCCCTGGCCTCCAACATCTCATTTTCACTTCAGACATCCAATCCCTGTACAATAGTATCCCCCACACGGATGGCCTAAAAGCCCTCCACTTCTTCCTCTCCCGCAGGCCCAACCAGTTACCCCCACCAACACCCTAATCTGCTAAACAGAACTCGGCCTTACCCTTAAGGACTTCTTCTTTAACTCCTCCCACTTCCTACAGACTAAGGGGCTGGCCATGGGAACCCGCATGGGCCCAAGCTAAACCTACCTCTTCATAGTATACGTGGAACAGTCCCTTTTCCGCTGTTACACTGGCACTGACCCCCATCTCTTCCTCCACTACATTGATGACAGTATCAGTTCTGCCTCATGCTCCCACGAGGAGCTTGAACAGTTCATCAACTTTACTACCACCTTTCACCCCAACCTCAAATACACCTGGACCATCTCTGGTACCTTCCTCTCCTTCCTGGACCTCTCCATTGCCATCTCTGGTGACCGCCTCGAAACTGACATCTATTTCAAGCAAACCAAATCCCACAGCTAAACTGGGCTGCACCTCTTCTAACTCACCCACCTTCCCGCAAGAATGCGATCCCCTACTTCCAATTCCTCTGCCTCTGCCAAATCTGCTCCCAAGGTGGGGCGTTCCATGCTCGCACATCCCAGATCTCCTCCCGAATTCAAGGACCGTAGGTTCCCCCTTCTACTGATTGATAATGCCCTCAACCGCATCTCTTGCTTTTCCCGCACCTCTGCCCTCACATCCCCTCCCCCCATCAAAAATAAGGACAGAATACTGCCTGATCTCACATATCACCTCATCAACCTCCGCATTCAATGTACCATTCTCCGTCACTTCCACCACCTACAATCCAACCCCACAACCAAACAGATATTTCCCTCCCCACCCCTATCTGCTTTTCATAGGGACTGCTCTCTCAGCAACTCCCTCATCCGCTCCACACTCCCCACTAACCCCACCATCCCCGGCACCTTTCCCTGCAACCACAGGATGTGCTACACCTGCTGTTACATCTCCCCCCTCACCTCCACCCAAGGCACAAAACAAACCTTCTACGTTAGACAGGGGTTCACCTGCACATGTATCAACTTGATCTAATGCATCCCCTGCTCCCGATGTGGCCTCCACTACATCGGTGAGACCATGCGTAAACTTGGAGACTGTTTCGTAGAGCATCTGCGTTCTGTAAGTGACAAGCTACAACATTTTCAGGTTGCCAACCATTTTAACTCCCCCTCCCCTTCCCTGAGTGACATGTCCATCCTCCAGTGTCCTCCTCCAGTGTCACAATGACGTTACCAGCAAACTGGAGAAGCAACACCTCATATTCTGCCTCGGGAGCCTACAGCCTGATGGCCTAAACATGGAATTCACCAGTTTTAAAATCTCCCCATCCCTGGCCAGATCCCACGTCCAAGCCTCCCTCTCATTCCCACCTCCTTGACCTGACACAACCTGTCCATCTTCTGTCCCACCTATCCACCCCTCCTACCTCACTGACCAATCCCCACCAGTGCCTACCTGCACTCACCCATCACCATCCTACCTATCTTGCCCAGCCCCACCCCTCCTCTCTCTATTTATTTCAGAGCTCCTTTCCCCCTCCCCCATTTCTGAAGAAGGGTCCCGACCCGAAACATCAGCTTTCCTGCTCTTCTGATGCTGCCTGGCCTGCCGTGTTCCTCCAGCTCCACATTGTGTTATCTCCAACTCCACAGCATCTGATATCTCTAGGATATGCAAGAATCTTTTTATGGGCAGGGAATTGTAGGAGGAATATGAATGCTTGGAGTGCACTAAGCTGTCTTGCTGTGGTTACCATACCTCAATAGCATGCCTGTTAGACGTAGCACTGAGGAGTGGAAGCTCAGACACTGAATCAGTTGGATTTTAAGAGAGTCAGAGATAATATGGTTCGTCAGCAGAGTGGAATTGAGGCACAATCTGATCAGCCGTGACCTTACAGAATGGGAAGCCAGCTCGATAACCCCCTCCACCTATTACTCCTTCCAAACTTATGGTGCAAGGAACATCAGTGGATGTTTGAACATGTCTTCAGGCTGGCTTCCACTGAGCAGGACTGAAGGGAACAAAAGGCATAGAGGGGCAGGAGTGGGACGAATTTCTGAAGAAGGGTCCTGACCCAAAACGTCAACTTTCCTGCTCCTCTGATGCTGCCTGGCTTGCTGTGTTCCTCCAGCTCCGCACTGTGTTATCTCTGACTCCAGCATCTGCAGGTCTTACTGTCCCTGAATTAAACACTTACCTTTTGCCCAGCACAGAGCGACGGTCATCAGCAGCAGGAGAAGCGAAATCCTCTGCAAGGCCATTGTTCTGACGAGCCCAACCTGGTGGAGACAGACACCATCGAGAGCTCAACGCATTGCATTCGACATGATCGGGAGCAGATACGAAGATCACCTGTGTTGCCCCTGTACTGGGAGTGTTTGATGGTGGGGGACAGAGTAGAGGGGGCTTTACTCTTTACCTAACCCCGTGCTGTCCCTGTCTTGGGAATCTATGATGGGGATAGTGTAGAAGGAGATTTACTTTCAGCTTAAAAGAGGGAGGTGACAGGGGCGACAAATGTAAAGCTGGTAAAGCACAGCTGGTTAGACTGTCTCTCTGACCTGCTGCGCTTCTCCTGCTCCACATTTATTGACTCTAGCTTCCAGCATCTGTAGTCCTTTCTGTCTCCGAGTCCTGACGCTGGAGGGGCGGATAGCCGGGGAGAGATGGAGCAGCTTAGACTGAGCGTCTACATTTCCGCTGAAACAGTGGACAGATTCCTGGCTGGCTCTGGGATTGCAAAGTAACGATGTTGATATTAATGAGACTGCAGTGTTGCGGAATAGAGAGAGATCAATCACTCACTCACCAGAGTCCACATCGATGTGTACACACCGTCAGAGGATCGGGGTGGTGTTGCAAGCTTGGGGCAGGGTGGTTTGTAATATCGTGTCTTTTTTTTCTCTTCACACGCCGCCCCGCCTCCGTTTTCCAGACTCTGGAACGCCCTCCTCCTTCCCATGCACTCAGCAATATTACACCCCGCAATCCGTCTGCAGTTACCCAGCCCACGTTCAAAACAGACCTAACAGTGCTCTGCAAAGTCACTGCATTCCGGCAAAAACACCTACGGTTTCTCTGTCCCTCCCCTACACCCCCCTGCCCCAACATCACTCCCACCCTGTCTCTTTCGTCCTCTGTCCCTCCAACTCTGATTTTTTTTTCTCTCAGCCTCACACATCCCCCTCCTCAGACCCTTCCCCCCCCCCCCCCACCCTCCTCCTCCCCTCACAGCCCCTCACTCGCTCCCTCTCCCCTCACAGCCCCCTCCCGCCCCATCCCTTCACAGCCTCCCCCTCCCCTCAGAGACCCCGTCCCTCCCTGCCTAAACCCTCACAGACTCCTTCCCTCTCTCCACTTCTCTTCACAGCTCCCTCCCTCCTCACAACGCCCTCCCCTCCGTTCCGTGTCCCCTCAGAGCTCCCTCCATCCCTCCCTATCCCCTCACAGCCCTTCCCTCCCTCCCCCTGCAGTCCCTCTGATCTGATTGTGATCGCTCCTCCCCCCTCCGCTTTCCCCCCCCCCCCCACCCGACTCTCTCCGGCCCCTCTGTCGTCCCCAACAGCCCCTCCCTTTGGGTGCATTGTTTCGCTTCAAAGCAGATGTGGAACATTCTGGAAGATTTTGGCATTGTCACTCAACCCCCATTCTCACTTAGCCCCCATTCTCACTCAGCATCCATTCTCACCTAGTCCCCATTCTCAACCAGCCCCCATTCTCACTCGCCTCCCATTCCCACTCGCCCCCCATTCTCTCTGGCCCTCATGCTCTCTGCCCCTCGGTCTATCAGTCCCTCTTTCTCTGTCACTCGCTCCTCCGCCCTTCTGCTCTCCTCTGTCTCCCCCATCTCCCTCTCATTCTTTCTCTCACTTTATTTCTTTATCCCTTCCTCTGTTTTTCATCCCCCCTCTATCAATGCTTCCATTGTCATCCATCTCTCAATTTTTAATTTTCATTCTCTCATGTGTGTGTCTCTCTCATTGTTTAACTTTATCTCTCTATCTCTTTCAGTCTGTCTCTTTTTCCCTCAGTGTCTCGCTGTCTGCAGATCTGAATCTCTTTCTCTCTCGCTCCTCCTCTCCATCTCTCTCACTCTGTATATATCTGTCAGCCACTCTTTTTCTCTCTTCCCCTCTCTCTCCATCTCTCTGTATATTTGCCCTTATCTCTCTCTTCCCCCTCTCCCTGTCTCTCTCTATGTATGTATATTTATATGTATGTGTGTGTCTCCCCTCTCTCTGTATGTATATATCTGCCCCTCTGTCTCTATATACATATATCTGTCCGCCTTTCTATATATCTCTCTCCCCCTCTCTCCATTTCTCTCCAGCTCTTTCCCTCTCTGTCTCTCTCTATATATATGTCTGCCTCCCTGCATCTCTCGCCCTCTGTCTCCATCGCTCTCTATATTATCTGTCTTCCTCTGTCTGTCTCTCTCCCTCTCTCTATCTCTCTCTCTGTCTATGCTTGCCTCAGTCTCTCCCTCTCTCTGTCTCTGTCTCTCTCTCTCGTGTGTCCCTGGCCTCCATTGGCTGTATCCTATGTTTTCTTTGGCTGACAGTGAGTTGTGTCGACATTTTCCGAATATTTCTCTGTAAGGGCCTAGTGAGAATGTTCTCCATATCTGACTCAAACTTGCCTCATTAATCCCCCAGCCCTGCATCATGACGGTGCTCTCTATACAGTCCCACGCCATTTTAGAATAACACATTCCCCAGCGGATAGCTCGAAATTGGCCAGCAAATATTTCCCACTCCCTCTCTCCCTCTGCATCAATCCATTGCCATCAATCTCGCTCAGTCTCTAATTTTCCTTTTCTCTCTGCCACTCCCTGTCCTTCGTAAATCGACATCCCTCCCTAATTCTCTCTCTGTCCCTGCTAATTTCTTACTTCCCTGCTCAATCCTTCTGGTACCTGCTCACCAACATCCCACTCTTCTGCATCTCTCTCTCTCTCAAGCCACTTTCACCATCAAATTCTCGTTTCTCTTCCATTGCTCTCCACTGCGATCTACAACATCTGATTTCGTCTGACAGCTAACCACCGAATAATAGGGCCTTGGCATTTTTTGAAACAGAGAGCCCTTGTTGCTGTATACTCACGGTCTCTAAACCAAGGGTCGCTCCCCAAACAGACTTGCCTTCCCCGCACGGAAAGACTCCTTCTGCTGAGGGTAATTGATGATCACACCAATGAGGAAGCTAAGTGCAAGAAGGTCAAAACGCTCGGCAAATTTCTTTCTGTCCCTGCTCAGTGACGCCCAGCCATCAGAAATTCCCAGCCCCTTTTTTCAATCGAGCCAAAAAAAATATTCAGGCAATTTCTCAGGCGGGATGGCTTTTCAGAGAGAGAGAGAGAGAGAGATGGTTTCTCAGATTTTTGCTGCAAAGGTTTGGCTCTGTTTATTATCCGCTTAAATTGGATTTAAAAGGGAAATTTCTGATGCTCGTCACTAAATTAAAAACCGAAAGAACTGCGGATATGGTAAATTAGGAACAAAAACAGAGGAGTTTCTTGAAAAGCTCAGCAGGATCTGTGAAGAAAAAAATAAAAATTCAGAGTTAACGTTTCGGGTCCTGTGACCCTTCCTCGGTCAGTGTGTCTGTGAATTCGGAGGAACTGTCACCGGACCCGAAATATTAACTCTGATTTTTTCTTCGCGGGTGCTGCCAGACCTGCTGAGCTTTCCCAGGAATTCCTGTCTTTGCTCCTAATTTACCACATCCGCAGTTCTTTCGTTTTTCATTTAGTGACCAGCATCAGAAATTTCTGTTTTTGTTTCTGATCTTGGTCATTGGGATAAACGCTTGCATGCTGACTCTTTCTGTCCCAGTCTGTCTACCGCTGCGTCTCTCTCTCTCTCTCCTTCTTTGTCCCTCTTTTTCTCTCAGTCTCTCTCTCTGTGTCTCTCTCGGTTTCTGACTTTCTCTCTGCTTTTCTCTCTGTTCCTCTTTCTATCTTTGTTTCTCTCAGTCTCTCTTTGTGTGCCTGTTTTTCTTCCTCACCCTCACTCTCTGTCTTTCTGTTCCCTCTGTCTGTTTTTCTCTTGGTCTCTCTGTTTGTTTCTCATGTCTCTCTCTGTCTGTTTCCTCTTCATCACTTTCTTCCTCTGTGTCCTTGTAAGTATCTATCTTTCTCTCTGTTTCTCATCTGTGTCTGTCAGCCTGTCTCTCTATCTGTCTCTCTCTGTATCCATATCTCTCTCACAGTCTGTCTCTATCTCCCTCTCTGTCCCTCTCTGTTAGTCTCTCTCTTTCACTGACTGTCTCTGTCTGCCTCTACCCCTCTATCTGTCTCTTTCTTTCACTGACCCTCTGTCTCTGTCTGTCTCTCCTCCTCTCCATTTGCCTCTCTCTTAGACTGACTCTGTTTCTCCCTGTCTGTCTCTCTCCATCTCTGTTTCTCTCCATCTCTGTCTTTCTCTTTCCCTAACTCTGTCTCTGTCTGTCTCTCCTCTCCATCCGTCTCTCTTTCACTGACTGTTTCTCCCTGTCTGTCTTCCCCCTCTCTATCTGTCTCTCTCTCTCTTTCACTGACTCCCTGTCTGTCTCTCCCCCTCTATCTGTCTCTCTCACTGGCTCTCTGTCTCTGTCTGTCTCTCTCCCTCTCTGCCTCTCTCTCTCTGTCTCTCTCTCTGCATGTCTGTTTCCATATCTCCCTCTCTCTCACGCTGTCCATCTCTCTTTCTGTCTGCCTCCATCTCTCTCTGTCTTTCTTTCTGTCTCTCTCTGTCTCTGTCAATCCCCATATCACCCTGTCTCTCTGTCCATCTTTCTGTCTGTCTCTGTATCCATATCTCTCTTACAGTTTGTCTCCATCTCCGTCTCTGTCCCTCTCTCTGTCAGTCTGTCTCTCTCTCTGTCTGTCTATCTCTCTATATGTCTCTCTCTATGTCTGTTTCCATATCTCCCTTTGCATTCTGTCCATCTTTCTCTCGCTGTCTGTCTCCATTTCTCTGTCTGTCTGTCTCTCTCCCTATCTCTGTCAGTATCTCTCTATCTGTCCATCTTTCTGTCTGTTTATGTTTCTCTGTATCCATATCTCTCTCACTGACTGTCTCCATCTCCCTCTCTCTCGGTCAGTCCATCTCTCTCTGTCAGTCCATCTATCTTTCAGTCTCCTTATCTCCCTCTCTCTCACTACATGTCTCCATATATCTCATTCTCTCTGTCTATCTCTTTCTCTCTGAATTCTTTAGTCTTTCTCTCTCTGTCTCTGTCTCTGCCTGTTTCTCTCTGCGTCTCCCCCTCCCTCCCCTCTGTCAGTCTCCGTCTCTCTTTTTTGTACTTATCTCCACTTCACTCACTCTCTCTCTCTATCTCTATTTCTATCTCTCTTTCTCTCTCTCTATATAGTTTGTCTGTCTGTCTCTTTCTCTGTCCCTGGTCTCCATTGGTTGAATCTTATGTTTTTTCAGTTGACTGTGAAATGCGTCAGGTGTTTTTTTTTCTGGAGGATTTCCCTCCAGGATGTCACAAGAATTCTCTCCGTGTCCTATCAAACTTATCTCAGTACAACCTATATCACCCCTAAAACTTCCCTGTTTTCCGATTCTGCCCGCACTCTATCACAAGCCATTCCCAAAATAACTCATTGCTCATGGGATATCCCGGAATTTACCGGCAGCCCCAGAGCTGCCCTGCATCGGTCTGGACATTGGCGCCGTACATGGCTGAGCAGGTGTGGGGCATGGTGCCCCATTGCATTGGCATGAATAGGACTTCCTCTTCCCTCAGGACAGGCAGCAGTGGTCATGCCAGCCTGGTCCATGTTGAGGTTGAACAAGGTGTTGGTGAGGCTTCCTCTGGAGTACTGTGTGCAGTTCTGGTCACCCAGTTATAGAAAGGATATTATTAAGCTGGAGACTGTTCAGAAAAGATTTACCATAATGTTACCGGGACTGTGGGTGTTTGAGTTATAAGGAGAAGCTGGATAGGCTGGGACATTTTTCACTGAGAAGTGACTTTATAGAGATT